GATTGGAAGCACACACTGGTTAAACAGGAAATGTTTAGCACTCATTAAAAATCTAAACAAATTAAAGCTATGACAGCATGGCAGGACTATAAATGAGAGTAGCTACAGATCAATCTATTGGTTTACAGTTAAATGCACTTGGCTCTCAGCAGATGAAGCAAAATAGGCAGTATGTTTAAACCTTAATGGTGGCGATGTTACTTTCTGCTAAACAGGGTATTGAGTTTTGAGGTCATGATGAAAGTGAATCTTTATTAAATCTAGGGAACGTACAAGCTCTTATTTTTCAGATGTTCACTGCCGTTTGACAGAATGTAAAAGCAAGCTACATCACTTTCTTTCTCATTTGAGAACAAAATAATTCATTTATTGACAGAGGAAGTTTACAGTATGTTTGAAGAAGAGAGTCATAAGCCCAACGCTTCTCCAGTCGATGAGACAAAGGATATTTCTAAGAGATAATAGCTGTCTATAGCATTCAGGTATGTCCACAACTGCCAAACTATTGAAAGGCTTTTTCATTCATTGTTGCAAAGAGTCTCACTGCTTCCTCTCTCACCGATTACATTTCTGCTAAAATGCTAGAGATACACCTTGACCCTGCCTTTCTGATTTGAGTGTTATCATGGAGCCTCTGTTATGAGTGGCTGTAATTCTTGAGTCGAAACAATAATTTGGCAGAAATACCCACAAGCCGTTTACGTTCGTGCTACGCTCTTAGGCTTAACTTAGTTTTAGTAGATGTAGTTAAGAAAGTTCAGGCAGCCTCTGGTGTTTTTGCTCTGATACAATCTATGTATGTCTACTTGTCTTATCTAAGAATCATGAAATCCTTCTATCTGGACAGAAAGCTCAGAGTCGCCAATAAATTTGAGTAAAAAAGTTGTCTGACACTAGTTGGTTATGTCGGTTTGAGTAAATTTCCACACTGTTGGCTACTTTCTCTGCAGTCATGGGTACACTGCAACATGTTACTAATAGATAAGATAGAGAAAACGCAATAGAGGCTACTGGTATTCACAATAGTATCAGTTCTTTTTCTGTTGTTGTCAATCTTATCATTTACAGGAATGTTTTTCAACAACCTGGGGGCGTTGCCCCAGGTCTTTCCAACATTTGATTTCACCCACGTGCGATGTTTGTATATATTTTATATATATATATTTTTTTTTATGTCCACACTTACATTTCTTCTATGCATGTTATATTGGAGAAATAGCAAAATTCATAAGCCTTACTAATCACCTGCCACGCTCCTTGATGTAGTGGGTGTGGCCACGGCAAACAAAATGGCGGCTTACACATGGATAGTTATGAGCCTTCTAAGTTCTAACAGCTAGATAACATAAAGATACTGTCTAAGGACTTCTCTACAAGCATCACAAGGTAGGAAGAGCCTCTATAAGTCTTAATAAGAATCCAGCTGTACTTGCAAGGTGGTGAAATCAATTATAGGAATATTTTTTACACTGTTACGCTTGTTGCAATTCTTATAAACTTCCTGACATCTTGCAAGCACAGTCCCTAGATATTGGCCATACTGCACAAGTCAAAACAGCAATAATGGACAGTTTTCAGAATACGAAAACTTGAAAAGTGACGATCAATAGACTCTTCTAACGATTTAGTCATAAGCACAACGCAGTTGACACTACTGACATGAGACAAGAAAGACAGAGGCTACCATCTGCTAGAATATCCACTGGTAACGTACTTGTAACGGTAAAAACACTACGTCATCTCATCAGAAATCAGTGAAGTCAAGACAGTAAAATAGTTGTTTACTTTGCCACTTTAAATATTCTTCTGGCAGAAATAAAAGCACGTTTTAGTGACACCAGCTGAACTTTAATGTAGTCAGTAGATGCTCTTAGGCTTAAGTCTCTCAATTTATTGTCATAGGTGGTATTGACTTCCCATGTTACTCACTACAAGGGCTTCATCCTGTCTGAATATTCAGAAAACAAGATGGAGATGCTTAAAAACTACATTTAAAGAAAACCTTTACCAACTGACTGTACCCAAAAAAATCTTAGTTAAGATCACACCAGTCAAGTCAAGGAAGCATTTCTAGTACTAACAAACTGTGTTCTTATTTTCATGACACTTGGAACAACAACAGCTACTGTTGAAAGTAGATTTTCTTGTGTAAGGCATATCAGAACATACCTTTGATCTGCAATGTTGCTGGAGAAGTTAGACTACTTAGCTGTTATTAATATTGAGAAGACTCTTGACAACTGTGGAATAGGCTAGATGAGAAATTAGCACAAACACAAAATCTCAAGTGTAACATTTTTGGACCAACTGAGTTCATGGCACTTATTTAAGTTAATTAATTACATAGTTTTTAATTAACTATTAATAAATATTAATTAATAAATCTAATTATTATTAATTAATATGTATGCCACACCCACCAACAGTAAGTATTAAGGTAGGAAACAAAATGCTGCAGCTTTTATTACTGTGTATAATTTTTGACAACTGAAGTTGGTAGGCATAATTTTTTACATGGTCATTTCATCATATTAAGTCACTAAAATACATATTTCAAAAATGGGTACAGTTTCACTACAGATGTCACATTTTAAGCTTATACTGCGACACTGACAATGTAAAACAATCAAAACATGGGATTGAACTATTTTGCTGCTGACACTTAGAAATATAATGGTTTTCTTCCTATACACATATCCTTTGGCCTAATGTAGATGTTATGATCAGAGTGTTTGTGGATTTTTTGATAATAAATGGTCTTGTGCCATAAACTTTGTAAATGATCTTAAGAACTTTTTCACATTATTAGCAATATTTTTACTTTTTAATTTATTGATTTCTGATGTTCTTTTCTTCTCTTTGCATCTTGGAGCAAGTTACTTCATTTCAAGAAGCCATCTTACTTTGCTTACAATCATAGCTTCTATCCACATGCAATAATTATTATAAGCACATGCACACATGCCATAAAACCACAACCGCTATTTACTACTCTACCAGCTGAAAGTTATGTCTCTTTTACAATACTTTAATAAGCAAATTTAAGAAAAATATATAACACAATCTAGATAATGATAACGTTATTAATGACTCTACAAGATTCACTCAGTCAACCCTTAGCTCCATACAAACTTATGCAGCTGACATTAGTAGTACTGATATTGAAAATGAGCTTGACTGTTCCCTTCCAAAATGACTAGCAATAGTTAAGAACAATCAGAACACAGACACTATAGATGTGGCAAATGTTTTTGGACAGCAATTATCTTCCAACTCTAAGTACCATCTAATGAAACATCATTTAAAACCATCTCCCAATTATTCTTTTCCAAAGAGTGCTGATGGACGATCCTTTCAACATTCATTGTTGAATAAGTTCTCATGGCTGGCATACAACAAGCATAAGAATGGTGGTTTCTGCTTATCTTGTGTTCCGTTCTCCTCGAGTACAGTAAATTATGGTTCAGAACCAGGGGCGTAGCTGAGGTAGGGCCTGAGGGGGCCTGGGCCTTACCATCAAAGTGGCCTTATAATTATATTCATTGAAATTATAACCCAGAAGATTATATTCATTGTTCTTACAATAACAAAAGGGGATGGCTGATAACCACAGCTCTTTTAAAGCTATATACAATGATAATTTCACTCTGATTTTGCTCAGCTTGCAAGCAACAGTAAAAAAATGGCAATGGAGTGTCAAAAACTAGGCTCCATTTTTTCTAAAACTAAAGTGTCATCTTCCCGCCCTTCCTTAACTCCACTTACAGGTAAGCGTTCTTCAACTAATAAGGTTCCTCTGAAGCAGTCTAACTCACCCAAAACAACCTCATTGAGTGATACTACTCAACCTTCTCCTGACCACGTGTCTCCCAAGCCACAATCTCTGGATGCCTCTTCCAGTAAGCCCCTCAGTGATTCACCAAACAGTCCTACTAAGTCTCAAGACCCCATCCGATGTGTCTGCCAGAACAACTCTGAGTCAGGTCTCATGCTGGCCTGTGAAGAGTGTGGTAACTGGCTTCACTCAAAGTGCATTGGCCTCTCCCATTCAATAGCTTCTACATTCCCATTTGTTTGTCCTTTCAGTGCCCAAGACCTTCACCACCAAGTTGTCTCACTTCAATCTAACCTGTCTCAAGTTAAAATATTGTTTGTTCTCTCACCAAGTTCTTTCGCAGCAGTCTTTGTTTGTCAAAGATGAGCTTGCCTCCATTTGCCTGTCTCTTACAGATATTTCTATTAAGTTAAACTCTCTGGCTACTACCAGCATCACTTCAGCCTCCCCGCATCTTCTCCCCTCATAATTCTTTTTTATTGTCAGGCCGCCCTCTAAAGGCTCCTCCTTCCTCCAACCATCCTTCCTGCCCACCAACACTTCCACCTCCTTCACTTCCCTCGTCCCTGCCTCAACCTCTCTAACCCACAACACTTCGTCCCTCTCCTCCCAACCCCTCAATCCTTCCTCCTCCCTCACTTCCCTCTTCCCTCCCTCCACCTCTTCTCCAACCCTCAACACTTCCTCCTCCCTTACTTCCCTTGTCGCTGCCTCCACCTCCTCTCCAATCCACAACACTTCCTCCCCCTCCTCCCAACCCATCAATCCCTCCTCCCTTACTTCCCTCCCTCCACCTCTTCTCCAACCCACAACACTTTCTCCCCCTCCTCCCAACCCCTCAATCATTCCTCCTCCCTCACTTCCCTCTTCCCTTCCTCCACCTCTTTTCCAACCCACAACACTCCCTCCATCCAACCCATGAATCCCTCCTCCCACCTCACTTCCCTCATCCCTTCCTCCCCCTCCTCCCCAACACAGGTGTTTATTATTAATAAAATTCCGCATCTGATGACATCACTATACGTGTATGAAATTTTAAAATATACATAGCAACACGCATAGCAACCACAGTGTCATGTGATAAGTGCATCATAACTTTTTAGGGGAAATCCCTATAGCTAAGTCAGCTATCTAGTCCTGTAGAGAAAGCGATGAGCTACAAGTAAATACCTGACTTTATTTTGTAAAGTGAAGCGCAAGAGATTTACGGAAGTAGAAATGTAAGAAAATGCTGTGGATGAACAGGGCTCTGGAGCTCTTTCAAAAGTTTTCCTGTGCTTCAGGTTACGGTCAGAGATAGATGGAGATCCAAAGCCGTCAGCTACACTTTTACTTTCTTAGTTACAATTTTTCCTCAAGAGTTTAACGTAACTTATTATTAGCATGTATACAGCGGACTTAATTATATGACAGGAGAGAGGGGGACAGAAAGAGAGAGAGAGAGATTTAAAATATTATAAATATTATGACATAAAAGAGAGGACACTACGCCCAACTCTTGTTGATAGTCAGACGTCAGAGTGTTGGCCACAGTCGGTTGATGCTCCTAGTCTGTCTACCCGCCTAGACTTCTTTCCTGGCTATCTTCCTTGCCTTTCGCCCTTAGCCCTCTGTTCACGACTCAGAGACACCAATTGTCATCATGCCATGCGACAGTAGTATGTGTG